GTATTCTCTGCCTTCAATCGTAGTCTTGACGCTCTAGCCAGTGCAGATGGGCTTGGTGGTGTCGGTGTCGCTGCAGGCAGCAGTGCAGGCGCAGCAGGTACGTCATCATCTCCAGCTTCGGGTGCGGAGGGCGTACCCTTGAATTTGGACGAGGTGAATCAGTGTCTGGAGGATCTGATTGAGTTTTTTGCTCAACCGGAGACTCATGAAGAACATGAGACCAGACAGTCGAAATTGGCAGCCCTGGCAAATAGGCAGGATCTCTTCCAAGTGAGTTATTTCACAATCTCGCCAATAAAGTCATTTGGAGGAAAACGTCATTCGAATGTCCTTCACATTAAGAGAATGGAAAGCTAACGCCTCAAAAGGCGATAGGCACACGCATCTAAAACGCCCAAACCTCATCCCCTGATCCTTTAACATCAACAGGAAGAGGGCATGATCAGCCTGGTGCTGGAGACCATTGATAAGTTCACCGGTACCTTCCGCAGCCGCCGTGAGTTTGCTCTTGCCGTGGGAGAGGAGCAAGGCAGTCGTTTCAGCGACCTTGGCAACTACCTCTACCTCCTGTTGGCCGCCTTGATCCGTGGAAACCGTGAAAACTGTGCCCAATTTGCTGCACCTGCACGACTTGATTGGCTCTTTAATCGTCTTGAGTTGCAGCAGAGCTTTGCAGAGGGCGTCCTCGATGCACTTCATTGTGTGCTGACAGACTCGGACGAGGCGCTGAATGTTATCACAGCCCAGCACATTCACACGCTAATTGGACTGCTTGATAAGCAGGGTCGTGACCCTCGGGTGAGTGGATCGACTGACTTTCGTAGGTCGCCTTCCAGTGCACCTAAAATTTGTTGTCATGAGATTGTAGCAAAATTTATCCCTTCTCGATCCGGTTTTGCGGAAAAAACCTGCAAACTCTCCCGATATTTACCAACTAAACATCCCATTTTTACTTCATTTTTAAGGTTCTAGAAGTGCTCTACTCAATATGCATAGGCCGTCAAGGTGGAGCTGTGCGTCTGAATCAGGATCTCATCTATGAAAGTCTTCTACCTGAGCGCGACCTTCTCTTGCAAACCAAACTAGTGGCTCAGTCCGGCTCCATGCGGCCCAACATTTTCGTTGGAATTAAACCAGTGAGTTGTGGCAGATTCGATGAATTCCTCCGACATTCTTTTTACTTCTTTGGGGATTCAATTAAAATTATTAATCTGTCAAACCGCTTTCCCCACAGGGTGGATCGATGTATACTAAATGGTACTTTGAAGTGTTTATCGACGCCCTCGAGAACGTCACCCACCAACCTCCTGGCATTCGAATTGGTTGGGGCAATACAGACGGCTACACGCCACATCCTGTTGGTGGGCCCGGTTGGGGAGGCATTTCCCTCGGTGACGACTTCTACTCTTTCGCCTTCGATGGGCAGAATCTCTGGACCGGTGGAAAAGCGAAACAGGCGCTTTTCCCGTCCGGAACGGGAGGCAAAGATCCAAATCGTCGGGCCAGTATCGCTCCCTCTGCCATTTCGACCACATCATCCAATGGAAGTGCAAATTTGAAACGAGGGGATGTTATTGGTTGCCTCCTTGATCTCACTGGACCGGTTATTCAATTTAATCTGAATGGGAACTTGGTGAAGGGCTACTTCCAGGTGAGATGGGGGGAGCAGATTGACCCTTGCTAAATGTAGTCATCCATAGTGTAAATGCATAAATTTTCCGCCAGATTTGAACATAT